AAAAAAATCAGTTTGAAAGTGGTTAAGTGAATTTGTTACCTTTTTTATTCCTTGCAGTTATTAACGTCACCAAAAAACAGGAGGTTTGATCAGCTTAGTAAACGTGTTAGTAGCGTATATTAACTTTATGTATTTAGATATCTTGAACAGAATTATGAATGCTATGAAAGGTGTTTGGAATGAATTGACTGTGACGATTGTCTTCTGTATCTAAGACTTTAGCATCAGCACAAAGGAAGTAACTGATTTAATTTAAATTAAACTGTTTCCTGAAGAGTTTTTCTCACTTTCCCTGAAAGAAAATGCAAAATCAATTTGATCGTAAATAGATCAGTCAGCTGGTAAAATTAAAATTTAAACCTTTTCAGGTAATATGAAGTCAAAATTATTTTTTTGCCTTGGTAACTAATTGCCAGGGAATGATGACAGCTTATTCCGCACTGGAGAAACAGCCGATTATTACCGGAAAATTAATAAGTAATAAATGTACCAATGGTAGAAAATGTAAAGGGAAACAAAAATTTTGAAAATGAATCGGAAACTTTTATAATCTCCGTAACAATTCAGGACGATTGTGAATATCTAATGACCCACCATGCAGCGTTTGAAATTTTTATACTCTCTTTTTCACAGAAATTGCATTAACAGTCCGAGGCAGTCTTTTTTCATGAATAAAAGTAATCAAGTCTGCTTACAGAAAATGTATGATGATGAGAGGATAGTTCAAACAAACCGGTGTTATTACATTTTTATTAAATGAGGCGGTAGGAAATTAATCTAGAAGTGTAAGAATTCTCTATAGGAAACTTGGCGACGACTTTGCGATATGCGTTAAAAAAACAAAGTCATAGAACTTAATCCGCCTGTGCAATCGACTAATTAAACAAATCTTGTCGGTTTCTGAGTGTTTCTTTTAATGATCTTTAAGTATGTCATTTTGTAACAAATATATTCCATTCCCTTTTTATGTCTTGTATCTTTTCTCCAGTTTTTGCAATCTTACGCAGGACGATTTCCCTTGGTGTTAAATTCAGATGCTGAGCGAGTAAGATCGAAGATTCCCTACCCACCTCTCCCCACCCTGTTACTTGTGCACGAGTCTTAGTCCAACGCGAGAGAACATAAATATGTACTTCGCTCCATGTTAGGAGAGTGGCAAATGGTTTATATAGCACACGTGACTAATCCCAAAAATAATACGCGACGCGCAAATTTTAAAGAAAGGCACTGTAAGGTGAGAGTTGAGGTTTTTCCTTTTAATTCGTGTATATGAAATAATGTTTAATGTACACGTGACGCCCGAATTCACCCACCCCAGCATTCCCCTCCCTCCCCCTGTTGTACAATGCTTCAGGCATTAAGCAGAAAAACTTGAATTTCCACTGCATTTAAATCGCCAAATATTTGCTGATCTGGAGTTTCTAAATCAGTCCAGCAGAAATCTATTCGCAGTATTATGGTCAGATGATTGGTCCCCTGATGACTACAGCAGGCTGTCGAAGGTGGCGATAGCGATAAAACGTTTTCATAATTAAATTTTTTCAGCAAAGATTCAGGATTTAGTCGGTGTCAATATGAAAACAGAGAGCGTGGGTAGATTCCCTTTCGTTTTAATTAATCAACTGAACTACCGTTTTAAAAAATAAGTGTGGTGTCTTTCAATCTACCGAAACATTGTGAAAGGTATTTTCTAATATCTTTCACAAAGGAACTGACACAAAGCTCAACGATATAAAAATGGTTTGACAAAGCGGGATGAATAGGATTTAGGAACTGAGATTTTTAGCCGAACGTGTTTACGATTACATTGCAAATGTAAACTTTGAATAATTTACATATCCGCATATCTATAGCAGATAACATTTTGTAAAGGTTTGATAGGGTTTTTATCTTATCACATGGGTATGATAATTGGGAAAAGTTAAGAGAAATTACAGAAAATACAGAGTTTAAATTACAGACGCGAACTGCATGGAAACAAACTGGTGTAGTAGAAATGGTATCCAACACGGACTCCACTTTGCAAGCACAGCTGCTAGCTGTTAATGGGGTATCAATACCCTATTTTTGAATACTTCTTTTCATCTCAGAATTCTTTGTTTATAAACAATAGCGCACAAATCAGTCTCTCAGTAGAGAGAATTCACCGTAGAATTGTCCCTAGTGTCAACCGCAGCCATTAATCCACATCGACAAGTTAGAAACCTCTTTATATACACCCTGAAATGTGTGCTGTAAAAACTATAAATAAACGGGTTGGCTGCAGCAGAAGCTATGGTTAATAACTGACTTAGTTTCCAGATTAATTCCCCTTCATACCAATTGAAATAACGAAGTGTTCGAGTGAAAATGAAAGGAGACCAAAACGCGAAAAAAACTATCGTCACTACCCCTAACATTCGACTCGCCTTCTTATGGCGCGCTCGCATAGAGAGAGCGATCTGTTGTGTTGGTGCGACCTGTGACTTAAAAAC